TTCTGGAGACAGCTTCAAAAAAACATCCAAACATTCGCATTTATAATATTAGTAAGATAGATTACCAAAGTACAGTCTTATAATTCAAGTTGGTAAATCCCATGGTCAATTGGTCTTTATATATTCCAGAGGTCTACAATATCTCCATACAATGGAAGGTACTCCTCTCATCCATGGAGACATAAAGCCCGGCAACATCCTGCTGGACCAGTGCATCATGCCCAAGATCGGGGACTTCGGTCTGGCGAGGAAAGGACCTTACGGTGAAGATAGGACGCATATGAAAGTATCCAGGTATATATCGAACGTCCTTTATGTCTAACTAGCTATCGCCCGCGACTCTGTCCGCGCGGAATTAAAATAAAAACAATTAGTAGCCTATGTGTGCTTTCAGACTATGCTCAATATCTATGCCAAAATTCATCCAGATCTGGTCATCTGTTCTGGAGATACCTTCAAACATCCATCCATCTTAACTATCAGTACTCGCGCGATCGTTATTAGATAAGCCCGCCGCGCTAAGTGAGTGTCCCGCAAATACCCTCATTTTATTATTATGGCTAAATGTGGTGGTTGTAGTAAAATTTTAACCAAAAAGAGTCCTATTCTAGAATGTAGTAGATGCCAAAAAGTTGTACACGCCTTAACACAATGTACGGGGCTAAGTGCAAAACAATTAAATGCCCTTAAAGCCGCTGAAAATCTAGAATGGGCTTGTACCGACTGCAATCTAAATTGTTCACGTAGAAAATCCTATGGTATGTTACAAGACGATGACGAAGACGAAGAGGAGCACATTCGAACACCGGAAGCCTCAATAAATATTAAAAAATTAGTGGAAGACATTAAAAAGGAAGTTTGTAACACCATCTCACGCGAGCTACAGTCGCTGAGCAGCGCGGTACAGTACTGCAGTGAGAAAATAGATGAGTTCACCGAGTCGCTCAATGCAATATCAACCAAGATGAAAGAAGTGGAGAGAAAACAGAAAAATATAGAAAATAGAAATACCTACTTAGAAACTAAATTTGAAGCCCTCGAACAAAAATTTACTGAAATTGAGCAATACCACCTTGGAGATTCAGTTGAGATTGTGGGAATCCCGGACTTGAGTGACTTAAAACTAAACGAAGTCATTCAAAACATTGCAGACAGATTCAAGGCGCCTAAGCACGACATAATATCCATTAAACGACCAGCGTCACGTAGGCCAGGACCTAGACCTGTCTTCGTACGGCTGCGGGAAGAGGTTACTCGCCAAAGATTTCTCACAGCAACACGCGAGTCCATCATCACCGCAGCGGACATCGTACCAGGTTTGACGGGACCGTCGGCACACGAAAAAATAATTATACGTGAATCGCTAACACCGTATTATAAGCATCTCTTATGGCAGGCTAAACAAGAACTTAAAGATAGTTACAAATATATTTGGTTTAAGGAGGGCAAAGTGCTAGCACGAAAAAATGAAAACTCAAAAATATATAGATTAAGAACTGTTAAAGATATACAACCCCTTCTGTCTAAAAACACCTAACATGTTTTTTCGTACTGGCCCTTGGCATTCCATATCAAAAAATTCTTTTATGTTATGGATAGTTTTTCTGACGAGGATAATATTATAGAACTTTTTGATTGTGTAAATTTCTCTGAGTATAATAAACGTATACCATTTCGCAAGAACAAAATAACAATAACACATGTAAACATTCGATCAATGATAAAATATTTTTGGAGGGTAGAACAAATTATGAGAGAAAACGGCACGGATATCGACATTCTTATAATTACAGAAGCAAATATTAGTGATAACATAAAATGCCTTTACAACATAAATGGTTACACAATGTATACGGTATTAAGAAATAAACAAAGAGGCGGTGGAATTATATTATATATAAAAAATAATTATACGTTTACGCATATTAATATAATAACTCGCCATTTTGAATGTTTGCTCGGTAAAGTTGTTATTTCATCTGTGCCGCTTACGCTGTGTGCAGTGTATAGACCGCCTAACACAAACAAACATCAATTTGTATTAGAATTAGACACGTTACTTGAAAATTATAATGACACAGATCTTGTATTGTTGGGTGATATAAATATTGATTTAAAAATTCAAAATTCTGTTAAAAAATCATACATGGATGTGATGAGCGGACACGGTCTCCTATGCGGGATATCAGATTACACAAGGATAGAAAACTATAAAACTAAAATTACAAAAAGTTGTATTGATCACATTTTTGTGAGATCCCGCTTAGGAAATACGTACGCCGCGGCGCTCGGCATAGTGTTGGCCGACCACAGAGTAACGTCGGTCTCACTATGCAATAATACCCATATACAGGATGCTCCGGTTTACATCAAACGAATTGATAACAAATTATTTAACAAATGTCTTAATGAGGTTGACTGGAATCCTATACAAACTATGAATTGCCCTAATGAAATATATAATTATATGAAAGATAATTTTACAAGTTGTTATAATAAAGCGGAATACAAACAAAAATTAGGTAAGTCTAAACGAAATGTCTATGGCTGGGTAAATAAAAGTATAGTTAATCTTTGTCGAAAGCGAGACGAGATTTTCTCATGGTGCGTTAAAGACCCAACAAATAAAGAAATCAGAGTTAAATATAAACAAATCAGAAACAAAACGAATAAAGTAGTACAAAGAACAAGAAACGCGTATTATATAAATCAAATAAACAGTAGTAAAACTAATACTCGTAAATTGTGGGAAATAATAAACAGTATGGCTTGCAAAATAAAAAAATCAGTTGACGATGTAATAACTAAAGCGTTTAGAAGAGACGGCACGGACAAAAATATTGCTGATAAATTCGCACACGAGTTTAAAAATAATGTACAAAGGTTAGTTCCAAAATGTAACATTAAAATCTTAAACGAATCCGAGTATTTGAGGCCTCTTGACAAATCAATTTTCTTTAAAAAAGCTAAAGACGGAGACATTAGAAAGATAATTAAAAACCTAAACCCTAACAAAGCCCCAGGTGTTGATGGACTTCGAGCAGTGGATATTATGAAATTGTCGGATAAAATTGTAAGCGTGATCACCCGGTTAATTAACGTCAGTATCCGTACGAGCGTTTATCCTAAAGATTTAAAAACTGGTATCGTACGACCTATTCACAAAGGAGGCAGTGCTCTGCATTATGACCAATATCGTCCTATTACTATATTACCGGTAGTTGATAAAATTGTTGAAAAATATATCAGCGGAATAATCCAACAATTCTACAGATCTCATAAAGTTCTCTCGGAGAAGCAATATGGCTTTCAAGTTGGAAAAAGTACTACTCTCTTATTATCTAAATTCACCGATGATGTTAATGCTTGCCTTAATTCAAAAAAACATGTTATTTTAGTATTTATTGACTATAGTAAAGCCTTCGACATGCTTAAACATAATTTGTTAATTGAAAAACTAGATAATAATGGTATTAGGGGGAAACTGCTAGAATGGTGTAAAAATTATCTTAAGGATCGAAGCTACCAAGTTAAAGTTGGGTCATCGTACAGTGATAATGTACCCGTTACTTTAGGAACGGCCCAAGGTTCTGTCATTGGCCCGCTTCATTATCTAACCTATGTTAACGACATCACCATGGTAATCAAAAATTGCATTGTGTATCAGTTTGCGGATGATACTTGTCTGATGGCTGCCGACAGAGACATCGCGGTGGCCGAACGCCAAATACAATCTGATTTTGAAGCTCTTTGTAAATGGTCTCATGATGCTGGTTTAGTACTTAACGCTGACAAAACTAAATTTATTCATGTACGTTCGAGCCACAATCGATCCTCTCCAAATAAAACTATCAAAATTCTAGCACACAGTCACACGTGTCTCCACAATGGAAAGTGCACATCTAACTGTGTGTCTCTTGAACAGGTCCGTCAGCATAAATATCTTGGTCTAGTTATAGACGATAGGTTCAGTTGGTCGCAGCATATAAATAAGACGTGTGATAAGCTAAGAGCAATTATGGCAAAATTTTATATAATTAAAGGTAGAATTCCTTTCAATGTTCTGATCACTATGTATACGGCGCTAGTAGATAGTATAATATCATACGGACTAAGTAGCTACGGACGAACTTATAAAACATACCTAAATCAAATTTATAACATACAATATAAAATTCTAAAACTAATAACACCTGCTAAAATAAAAGAGAATTGTTCCAAAGATCCTCTAAAACTATTTAAACATTGTAAAGTAATTCCAATACATAAAAAAGTAGAATATAACTTATTAGTAGAACAATATTTTCGGACTGAAATTCAAATCCCAATTGATCATAAACTTACAACTAGGAGCGTAACAAATAAAAAATTGTCGACCCCTGATTATATCAACGTCTATGGTAAGCGTACGTCAGAATATATAATTCCAACATTAATAAATAATTTACCTACTGATATAAAAAATAATATAAACAACAAAAACATAAAAAACATACTTAAAAATCATTATCTAAAATCCTAAGTCAAATAAAATTATAACGCGTTTGTGCACCCTGTATATGACGGTATGAGCGAGCTCACTAATTTGCTGTAAACAAAAAAAAAGTATGTAACTTACCTACCGTTTCATAGCGTAGTACCAAAGTGTCTGGACAAACCCGCAACGGGTTTATAGACACTTTTATTGTAAATTTGTATTTTATTCCTTGTTTATATAAATAAATAAAAAAAAAATAAAAAAATATCGCATTTATAATATGATTAAGATTACTAAGATTTTAGTCCCCTTTCCCTTCTCATCCTTATAAGGAACGGTTGAGAAGAGGAAATAGATTGTCAGAGGAGTCACATAGGAAGGGGGAATATACTCTTTCTGTGCATCTCCATATGTCGATTACATTTAGGCAACGCATTTGCAATTGCGAATGTCCACGAGCAGCATTCGCTTCGCCATCTTGGCGAAGTAGCTACTATATATTATAATTTTTTTTAATTTCCAGAGTTCACGGCACTCGGCCCTATTTACCAGACGAGTATCTTCGCTCTCATTACCTCTCACCAGCAGTAGATGTATTCAGTTACGGTGTGGTGATGCTGGAGCTGGCCACAGCTTTGCCCGTCATGGACAGGACCAGGACTGTACAGTTGTTGAGAGATTATATCATACAGCTGCAGAACAGACCGGCTTTTGATTTAGGTATGTACTTAATTCTCTTGTGATATCATTTTGCTCAAATAATTACCTCTCGAAAACTTAATGGATTAAGATCCGACTCGAAGGACCAGATATAATATGAATTGTAGCTAAATTTTAAATCGTAAGTTTCTGAGACAAAATTCACTGTTTAAAAGATATCAAAGATTTTTGAAAACCATGAATAGAAAATTAAATTAAATTAGGCAGGCTATTAAAAATCTACATTCAAGGCCTTTTTGCAAAGCATTTTAGCCAAGTATCCTCCTATTTCTTATGTTAAGAAGAAAATCCGATAATACCGATGTGACGCAACACTAGCTTTACTAAAATTCAACGTTTGTCCCCTCACTAATCAGTCTGACACTCGACTTGGTAACGAAAGCGCGATAAATGCGTCAAAGTATTTTATTGAATAATTCCTAAAACTTATATCTTTATACAGCATCACTAGAAGACCGCAACATCCAAGGCACAGTTCACTCAAACCCCGCGCTGTGTCGTGAGATAATGTTCATAGGTCTGCACTGCACGCGCTACGACCGGCACGAGCGACCCGCCATGCTGCATGTATACAAACAGCTCGACAGCATGCATCTGCCTGAAGAATACTACAACTGATGTATACTGCAAGTATACTAAAGTAGAACTAAGGAACGATTAAGTATGCTAAGCTATGATTTATGTTTACTCAATAAGTATGAAGAGTACTGAGGAATGACGATGTATTTTTAAGAAGAAAATGCCCAACAATGTAGCGAGTGAATAACTGAATTATGTTGAAGTATACTGAATTATGTTGAAGTATACTGAATTATGTTGAAGTATACTGAATTATGTTGAAGTATACTGAATTATGTTGAAGTATACTGAATTATGTTGAAGTATACTGAATTATGTTGAAGTGGAATAGCCTACAATGCTGCAAGTCTACAAAAATCCAGAAATCAGTGCCATTTTTTTATTTATCCCTTTGTCTGTTTTAAGAAAAAAAATCTGAGAATTTTTAATTTTTAGTAGTGTAGTTTAACTCAATGTATGGACTGTTGTATGAATGTGGATGAAATATTACATGTTGTTTATTAAGTTTTACAGGAATTGAGTAAAATATTTATAAATATTTGAAAGTTATATGAACTTTACATATTTTTGTACCTCTTTTAATATTCTAAGGCTTTGAAGAATTAATGTTTTTATAAAATTTATATTAATTTGACAATTAAAATATAGGTTAAGTGTAAATTAATAAAATCGTGACTTAATTGTTTTTTTTAAATAAAATGTTTATTTTTATAATTTTGACTTTAATTTTTAATCCTTGTTTTTTTATTAATTAAAAATGCACGTTTTAAGGTGAAATAATTGTACTCGAGTCAATCAAAATATATTTTTAATATTACATAACATTTTTACAATTAAACAAGACACTACATAATTACTACTCCAACACGAAACCTTCATAAAGTTGACAAAATATATTAAAAACTGATAATCGTATAAATAAAATTACTGGACCCTTTCAAATCAATTTTGTTTTATTTTGACATTATTTTAATTTATCGTTGGTTTCTGAGACTATATCGTCTTGCCTGTCATTGTGTTTAAAAAAAAGAAATAACAATATGTTTTAAACGGAGATTTTGGTGTCAGAAATCCACGATTAATGACTCCAATATGTGATACTATTTTTAACGAAATACTGACGATTTTTGTTCCATCACCTGACTTTGTTCTATCGATTAGAATGCCACGAGTTACATTGATAAATATTGTCATCTCTTTCTTTCTCTTTGATTAAAAAGAGACAACAATATTAATGCACGTTACGCAATTTTCTTTAAAAACTTTAGTAAGGTTTCGAAGTTTTTTACATTTACATGAGATTCTAATAATAACTAGGAATTTTTATAACGTAACATGACTTTTTGTTGATGAAATAAAAAACAAAACGAGCACTAGATAACTTCAGTTTTTAATTTGGTCGAAAACTATTTTACATTTCACGAAAAAACATAACAAATTTTGTATCTGGAAAAAAGCAATTTAAAAACCGAAAAATACATTTGTTTTAAATTTTAACACGTTCAGAAATCACAATATTTAACACAATCAGTCCATAGACAATTTTTTATTCTAAATACAAAAAAAAATGTCAAATAATAGAAAAAAGAACTCAAGAATACTAAAACGTAGTCTTAGACCTAAAAAAATTCAGAAAAGATTTGATTTTAAACATGTTTTGATAAATATCTCGTCAAATCTAAAATATTTGAAATGACATTTTTTTTCTAATAGAGGTTGAAAATCATACAAAAAATATTAAAACAATTTTAAGTGGTCCAGAGAGGTTAGGCAAAATGCATTCGCTTTGAAGCGAATCCATAGCGAATATCAAACGAACTAACACGCGACAATCACGTTACTTATCGAAACCTATTGTCAGTACTATACATTTTTAAAGTTCGCTATGGAATCGCTAAATGTTACATAATAATAAAAAATCAATTAAATCCAAACTTAATTTACAAAAGTAATGACAGTTTGACAGAAGAAATTGGAGGGGAAAAACCATAGCGAAAATGTCAAAAATATTTGACATTTGTATTTTTTTTTACAATAACGGTTTCAACGATTATATTCGTTAAAATAACTATTAATAACTAACACCCGTTCATTAATTTGGTTCATTTGTGGAATAATGAAATGCCACATTCGATTAGCAAAAAAACATCCAAAAACTTGACATTTTTAATTTTATTACAAAGCATTTGACGTTTATGACAAATTAGTTTCATTGTTAACTAATTTTTAGTAGTCGAAGCTAAATCAGAGTTCAAGGGACCGCGATATTTCTCTGACATACAGGTTTCTAACTCCAGTTTCTCGCTAATGGATCCATCAGAACTGGACTCTCTCTTATCCAGATTTGACTTTATTCAAAAATATCAATTCCGTTTATATAATATTAGGAAAATATTCAATGAAAATAATTTACCATTTAAAATTAAATTCATTATCAAAATAAATACTTGATCCATATATTTTACATTTATTTTTCATTTTTTTTGATTAAAAATACATCTAATTACATTTAATTTAATCCAAATTATCTCTAACACTTTCACTGCTACTGATTTTTCAAGTTAATTTTCATACTAAAAAAAAGTAGTAGCATTGAAAGTGTTAAATAATAAAATCCAAATAATAAACTGATATAAAAACGGCTAAGTCTAAACGAAGTTAACCAGTCCCATTCATCCTGATGAAGGGACCCCGATGGCCTCGAAACTAGTCGGTGCCGCCACCGGACGAATATACGTGAGTGTTTAGCCGTTTTTATATCAGTTTATTATAATGTCTCACGAAAGTTTGAATAATTTAAATCCAAATAAACTTTAACACGAGACTTACTTTTTTAATCATTTAACCCATTAATGCATAACGTTCGATAAATCGGACGCCAATAAAATTGTTATTTTAGGAGTTATATATATTTTACTAACCGTTTATTTTTTTAAACAGTAGTGTAATATACTTGTCCCAAAAGGTTACATACATAGGAAGGGGGATGATAGGGGTGGTCACAAGGGTCACCAGAAAAATAAAATAAAGATTCCCCTCTGGGTATTAAAAAAAATAAATGGCATTTTTTAAAAACTTAAAAATTTTACACCTTCTGGGGCAATTTTGCAACCGATGACCTACAAATATTGCTATATTTAAAAAATGTTATTATGTTATCGTCAATAACCCTTTATCAATATGAAATAAAAAAAAACAATACAACAACTAACAAAGATTTTAAAGAAAATTAAAATTGCCCCAGAAGGTGTAAAGTTTTTAAGTTTTTAAAAAATGCCATTTATTTTTTTTAATACCCAGAGGGGAATTTTTATTTTATTTTTCTGGTGACCCTTGTGACCATCCCTATCATCCCCCTTCCTATGTACGTAACCTTTTGGGACATCCTGTATATTTAAAGTGGTAATACTGTTGGTATAACATTTCGGGAAGCGATTTATCGGACGGGCTATAAAATCTAAACTTTCATATTGATAAAATATTTTATACAATTTAATGGTCAAATACATTCGAAATGAAAATATATTACAGCGATCATTATGAAAAAGGCGTTAATAAACTTTATGGACAAAAGGGTTTTATCAAAAAAAAAATTGCTCTTACACAAATTTGAAATCATAATTTATGGCAAAATTAATCTCATTTGAAAACTACAATTGGATTTAATAGAAAATTTAATATATATTTAGATGAAACAACACAATCGTTAATTATAGTTTTTATTAATTTATTTAATTTTGATACTGTCGGTCTTGGTGCTGATACGGTTTGTCTAGTATTTTTACATTCGACACAATTTATTTCATACCCTTGTATTTTTATATCTTTTGAACCGATTTTATATGTATTGTGTTCATTTATTAATATACCTTTAAATCTTATTTTATCATCTGTACGCAACAAACGTGTGTAATTACTAAAATAATGATCGAAATTAATTGATATATCCGCATGTCTCTTCAATAAACCACCGCCAGCTTCCATTGTTAATTTTATCTCGTGAATGTATCTAGAAATAATAAATTTATATAAAATTCTCGTGTCACAATTGTGTGTCGTTCCCATACTCCTCGGAAACGGCTTGACAGATTCTCATGAAATTTTGTGAGCATATTGAGTAGCTCTGAGAATCGGTTAACATCTATTTTTCATTCAAAAAAATTCAAATCGGACCAGTAGTTCCTGAGATTAGCGCTATTAAACAAACTCTTCTATTTTATCTTATATCTTTAAATGAGCAATTCTTGTATATATATAATTGGAATCTCGGAATCGACTCCAACGATTTTCATAAAATTTAGTATATAGGGGGTTTCGGAGGCGATAAATCGATCTAGCTAGGAATCATTTTTAGAAAATGTCTTTTTATTCGTGTTTTATCGATAATCAACTTAAACATAAACTTAACTTTTTCTATTGGTACGATCGAAATATATTATTCATATTTCATCATTTTATTAGTAATTCATACTTAAATATAATTTCCAAAAAAACACAAATTAAAAAAAAAATACCGAGCAACGCTCGCTCATCCAGGTACTAATATTAATATAGATAATATCAAAAACTACTTACTCATTCAAATTATTCAAATGGCAAATCTTGCCGCTCTGTCTGGCAACACTTTTCACAAACTCACAGCCGCCGACAGAATCCGCTCTGTTTGTATCCTGACATAAATTGCTATACTCTTCACCGTAATAGCATTTAAAATATTCTTGCAAAAAACTCGGCAACCACGCAGCAAAATCACTAAATTGATTTCTAACATTTATCAACCTAACTTCACTGATATATCCTTCCCAATTAACATGGGCGCCATTTAAAATGGAACATCTAATTTGTGTGTCCGCCATATTGGTTTCCGTCCAAGATGGCGTATTACACTGACTGTAATAATCATCCCACGTTATCTGATAATTATTATCTTCATAATCTGTTATAAATTCATTTTTTAATAGATTTTTTATACTTGATTTATCTTCTCCTATTAATTCTATAAGTCCTGATGGAAAGCCATCATCCTGTATATCACCAATTATTTGATTACCAAAATACAGTAGCGTCATTAGGCCGATGGTTAGCTAAAAAAAAAAGAAAAATCTTACTTATATTATAAACTAGCTATCGCCCGCGACTCGGTCCGCGAAAACAAAAAAAAAATAGTAGCCTATGTGTTCTTCCAGACTATGTTTTACATCTATGACAAATTTCAGCTAAATCCATACAGCGGTTTTGGAGATAACTTCTAACGAACATCCATCCATCCATTCGTCAAAACATTCGCATTTATAATATTAGTAAGACAAGAAGTAAGATGCGAAAGTTTAGATGGATGGATGTTTGTTAGAAGGTATCTCCAGAACTGCTGGATGAATCTCGCTGAAATTTGGCATAGCAGAACATAGTCTGGAAGACCACAAGTAAGTTTTTTTTTCGCGGACGTAGTCACGGGCGACAGCTAATAATAAACATTTAAAAATATAATAAAAAAAAATCATACCTGTAACGGAGTCACGAACTTCTTAGTAGCTTCAGACTTCGCTAAAACGCAAGTTACCAACAAAATTATACCAAAACCTACCAAAATAGTGACAGCATAAAACAATCTAGACAAAGTGATATACTGTAAAAAGGCAAATATAGGCAAAGTTACCGTTATAACACCTAATAAAGGTAGAAATAAAAATGAACATACCAAAGCTAATGTACCTCGTATCAGACCATATGTTGTGCAACCATGAGAACAAGTTATAAACATTTGGAGCCAACTCAAAGTGACACAATGCGGGAGAGTATATTTAAAAAAACCTTGCCAATCACTTCTTTTGGCCATAGATAATAAAATTATAGGTATTAATAGAGAGAAAAAAACTCTAGAATTAAGACAAAATTCGATACTATTCCCTAATATATAAGATGGATAATTTGATATATGTAAATCAAGAAATCTCCAACCTTGATGTACAACTGTGTCTTTCTCGTAAGGATATTTAGCTAAAACATTTATAGCAAAGGATATTAAAGCTAAAACATCCGGATATAAATTACCATTTGTTGCAAATGAGAATAGAGTGATGAACATGAGACAAAATGAGAGAACGCAAAACTCGGAAAACGGCACCCATTGAGTTGAAATAAATGGATAAAGAAATAAATTAACAAGTAAAGATATAAAAAATTGCACAAATGGATATAAATTATTTCTAACAAATAAATTTTCAGATTCGTCAGTTTGTAAATTACCGTCGCTATATCTTAGAAATAAACCGGACCATTTTCTAAAATCTATAAATTGCCTTTTTGCTAATAACATTTTAAATGTACATATAACCATTGCCGCAAAACTAACATAAAACAATATCAAAGGTACTAAATTATATAAATTTTCTGTATTCGTTGTTAAATAAGCTACCAAAAGTAATGAGAACTCAATATTTGTGAGTCTAAATGAGAAAGAACCGAAATAATATAATAATTTAATATAAAGCACTTGAATAAAAACTATTGGATGTAAAAATGCTTGTTGAAACAATGGGATATGATCTAATGCCTTAATATTAGGATCAGTTAAGGTCAATTCGTAACTAACTAGAGGTAATTCTCCTTGACAGTAATCAACAGCTGCTGACACTAAATTGTCAACTGTCAAGTTACGAATATGTCTACGGTCAACTTCCTCGTGGTAATCTGAAAAGTTAAATTATAAAAGAATAAGAAGATAAAGAAATTTATTTCACAAAAACACGTTAGAATAATATACAGTGAAGTATGTTGCAGACCCCGAACAAGGCTGAGCCTGTATCGGGGTCTAGGAGTGCACTTAGTCATAAACAAAATAACAGTATGTACCATGTTAAACTAAGCATGATATTATAAAGGTATGGAATATTTCAACAATTTTTAATTAAAATAAATATTAAAAAAAAATATTTAAAAAATCAGATTTTTACAAGCAAAAAATTTGCCAAATTGACAATAAAAATGTAAAAAAATTGTAAAAAATATAACTCTCGCATTTTGTTTGTAAAAACGGTTTTTTTTAATACATCTACTTATTTTTCTAATTCAAGTAGCTTCTTATTTAACTTTATAATCATACTAATATAAATGCGAAAATTAAAATGAACGGATGGATGGATGTTTGTTTGAAGATATCTCCAAAAACTAAACAGATCTGGATAAAATTTGACATACATATAGAACAAAGTCTGGAAGAACACATAGACTACTAAGTATAGACTAACAATCTATATTTTTTTTGTATATTTAAAAATGTATTTTAGCTGTGAAAATGATTGATTTTACCTTCATCAGTTTGCGTGGTTCTGATAGTGCCATTAACATGTATTTGATCCCCTGCTTCCAATAGAGAAGGTTCTAAAGCCTGTTCCCCGTCCAGAGCACGAGCTTCCTCTAAAACAATATTATTATTATTTTATTCAATTCTCTAATATTATAAACTAACTGTTGCCTGCGACTCCATCTGCATGTTATATAAAAAAAGCACCTGGATGACCGAGCTTTGCTCGGTACTTTTTTTTTAATTGTGTTTTTTGGAAATTATATTTAAGTACGAATTACTAATAAAATGATGAAATATGAATAATATTTTTCGATCTTACCGATAGAAAAAGTTAAGTTTATATTTAAATTGATTATCGATAAAACACGAATAAAATGACATTTTCTAAAAATGATTCCTAGCGAGATCGATTTATCGCCTCCGAAACCCCCTATATACTAAATTTTATGAAAATCGTTGGAGCCGATTCCGAGATTCCAATTATATAATTGGAATCTCGGAATCGGCTCCAACGATTATATATACAAGAATTGCTCATTTAAAGATATAAGTAGCTTGTATGTTCTTCCAGAATATTTTATATCTATGCCAAATTTCATCGAGATCCATACAACTGTTCTGCAGATACTTTCTAACAAACATCTAAACATTCGCATTTATAATATTAGTAAGTAAGATGATAATGACATCTTATAATATTGGATAGATGGATGATTATTTGAAGGTATCTCCAGAACATCTGCATGGATCTCAATAAAAATTGGCACAGACGTAGAACATAGTCTGGAAGAACACATAGGCTACTTATGATCCCGGAAATGTATAAGATTCCTGTCGTCACATTTTATTGAAATTTGGAAAATATATAGAACATAGTCTTTAACAACATATAACATAGATTTCATCCTTTTTTAATCTATGCAGACAAAGTCGCGGGCAAAACCCAAATCTATAATGGTCTCTAAACTATGAAGGTACAGTTTTTTTATATCATAATGTGGCAAACGAGCGAGCGGCCACCTGAAATCGCTGAAATAGTGAAGTGATCGTTGCCCATAGACATACGCAATTGCATATGCGTTGCCTACCTTTAATCGACGGAGGAGAGGATGCACAGAAAGTAAATATTTACTTTTTCCATGCATCCTCTTATCCGGAAAGTCCATTTCTACTTCCCATCCTTTCCTCATAAGAAAAAGGGTGGGAAGGGAAAGAGGACTAAATTAGGCCTCCGGGACGCACACATATCAGACTGTTGACTTGACGCCTATCTTCTGTGAGGTCGTGGTATTTCACCGGACGAGCCGGGACAATTCCTGCGAAGATGTTAAAGCGGGCTCTACCACTGTTAGATAGAGTTTAATTTAAAAAAAATATTTGGCTAAATTTCTCACATTTGATGAAACAATTAATATGCAAATTAACATATAAATAAAACTGTCGTAAAATATGTAAAAGACTACTATCTCTTTTATTCCAAAGAGAATGAGCGAGATGGATATAGTTACCTTGTGTGTTTTCATCAGCCGTGTCACTATCCTCTTCATCCTTCTTGAGGGTTGTGGTGCAGATCTCCCGGATGCGACGCTCCAGCTGTGCCGTAGTAATATATTGCTCGCCGTTTGATAGACTGCAAATATAACATCATTACTAACTGTCGCCCGTGACTCCGTCTGAGCTAAATTATAAAAAAAAACTTAGCCTATGTGTTCTTCCAGACTGCACTCTAAATCTATGACAAATTTCAATGACAAGAGTTTAGCGGTTCTGGAGATACCTTCTGACAAACATCTAAACATTCGCATTTATAATATTAGTAAGGCTAGCAGTTGTCCGCGACTTTCTCCGCGCGTAATTTAAAAATCAAGATAAATAATAGTACTATGTGTTATGTGATATATACATATATATATATATATATATATATATATATATGTATATACCAAATTTCAACAATATGTTGAACTGTTACAGAATTATCCCACGGGAACCGTACACATTGCCAGGATCATGACTAGCCTATGTGTACTTCCAGACTATGTTCTACATCTATACCAAATATCATCTAGATACGTTGACCTGCTCTGCAGATACATAGTAACAAACATCCATACAAACATTCGCATTTATAAAATTAGTAAGATTTTCAACAAACTTACCTAGCAAACAGGTCCCTTGCCGCTTTCCGCGCTACGATTTCCTGCCGACTGGCGGCGAGGCATGACTTGGCGCGCACTATCGCCGCGCTATCCTCGTCTATCACCCCGCTGCGTATACACCTGCAAATCATGACTAGTCATGATTATACAACATCATGAAACAAGCACGTTCACATGAGTTCACAAGTGGAATCACAACACCTGGGAGAAAAATATAATAGACACAGGATACCCATACAAATCATGATTAGTCACGACTAATCATGATTTGCAGGTGTATCAAGTAATTAAATAAAAACTTAATTAATTGCCTATGTGTTCTTCCAGGCCATAGCCTGAACATAAAACATAGTCCTACATCTGTGCCAAATTTTATCGAGATTCGTTGAGCCGTTCCGGCTACACCTTCTAACAAGTATCTATACATCCATCTAAACATCTGCATTAGTAAGAAGTAACATTTCGTATAACTTACATAAGCCTATGTAATTCTAATCTCACTCTATCCCATTTTATTTTCCAATCTTCGAATTCAGGTATATCGTACATCGGCATGTTTAACAAAAAAAACAAACACACAGCAACAAAACTTCACACCACAGATTTATAAACGACTTATATACCGGACATTAGCACTTTCCTTCAATTATTTTGACCATAATCGCATTTACCATACCAGTATGTTACAATCAACTCTACTATTATTATAACGGTTTGGTTTGTGATGTCCCGTCTATGGGTACGAGATGTTAAATGCATCTACCACTGAGCCCTTGGTAATAATGCATCGGAACGCAATGTTTAATGTTTACGTATAAACGGAATGACAATCCTTCAACAATACGCATTACCTCATATCATTCAGTCGAATATTTCAAGTCGCCTTTTTGATGTTAAATTTTTCTACTCTTACGGAATTTACGCACGTTAAAAAAATACCGCATCCAAAATGACGTTATTATTTTTTTCATTATTTAATGGCTTCATTGACTTGTCAACTAAGAAGTTTTATTGTAAATATTAGAAGGAGACTATGTTCTTTGTCTATGCCAAAATTTCAACCAGAACAACACTTTCCAAATAAGATATGACCTAAAGGTCTGTGTTACCAGGTCATAAAATTAAAAAAAAATCAAACAGATCCATGCAGCTGTTCTAGAGATACCTACTAACAAACATCCATCCAAATATTCGCATTTATAATATTAGTAACATTACGTTTAAAAAAGAAATAATAAATACCTTTTACTATTCTTTTTAAATTTATCTTCGAATATCCTACATAATGAAATACCTTACAACCTCGACCTATCCTTTACAATATCGATATTATTTACGTGATTCATAAGAAATGTCAATTGTTTGAGTTATTCTCTTTATTTTGTCTCTAGTAAGAGGTATAAATATTTTAATGAGTCATGATAAATAATTGCATTTAGTCTTAATTTCGAAAAACTATGTATAAAACTGTCACTATGTAGTAGTGAAACTAAAAAAATAACCGTGTTTAAACTGTTTTTGTAAGCAAACGCATTCACACCTGTGGAAATGTATCATACCCAGCTAAGCGGCCAGTAGCGACACTAATCGCATGGTGAAAAAGAGGTTTAAATCTTACCGTCTTAACATTCTCCTAGCTTCCGGATGTGCTTGTTCCGTCGCACATATCAACCATTCCAGCGCCTGTTTGAAGTTGGATATTTTATCAGCTTCCAGTTCTGTTAACGAGAAATTATTATCACTTTTAAATTGTTTACACTTCAACATAAGGTTGACATTAAAAATCACTAGATGGCGCTGCCAGTAATTTTTTTAAAAATTCATATGCTTAGATGGATGGATGGATGTTATTTAGAAGGTATCTCTATGACGGCCGCATGGATCTTGCTGAAATTTGGCATAGATGTAGAAGACAGTCAGGAGGAACACATAGGCTACTAATCAAGTTAATGCCTTGCATACAAATCCGTAGGCGACAGCTAGTTACCTATAAGATTATATTGTATAATTGTTAAATATAGCATAAGAAAGAAATAAACCAATTTCTTAGTGGACATGAAAAGTGATGTGATAAAACTGATTCAAGCAACCCAGGCTAGGTTTTTTATATTCTTGTTTAGACTATATTGAAAATAATGTGAAACTAATACCACATTTTTCTTCTAAAAGCTGCTTGGCCAAGACTACTTGTGATTCAGCACATCCATCCTCTGCCAACTGATTCCTTAACCTCCTCAGTGAGCCTTGCGGGCCATCTGGAATTAAGATTTCTCAAAAGTAGACAATCATAGATTAAAACTAACTTAAATAACAGTTTTAATCATACTAATATTATACTAATATTATAAATACAAATGTTTGGATGGATGTTTGTTTTGAAGGTATCTCCAGACATCTCCAGATAAACCAATCTTGCTGAAATTTGGCATAGATATAGAACATTGTCTGGAAGAACACATTGGCTAATGAATATGCTTTTTAATACCGCACAGATGGAGTTGCATGCGACGGCTAGCCTTTCATAAATCTAAAGGTAATCAGAAGGACATGTCTCAAGGTTAAGCACTTGTCTTGCAATGTGCAGGTCCTGGGTTTGAATCCCACTATATACTAATGAGTTTTCCGATTTCCGATTTACATATATCCGATGTTGTCACGGTTAAGGAAAACGTCGTGATGCCTGCACATATCTGCAACAAAATTCAAAGATATGTGTGAATACAACCCACACTGGGCTAGCGTGGTTGAAGCTCAGCGGGGATGTATAGTGAGCTGTTGATGATGAATTATAATTACGTAAAGATAATTTAAACTTAAACTTAACCTCTATTAATTTTTTCTTTCATTAAAATAATTAATTAAATTTTTGAACTAAAATACGATAATAATGTAGAATAATTCGTAAATACGTAATCAAAGTGAAGATCTTTTTATTAATTTGAGAGTGTGCGAAATATAATAACAGATACTTTAAAAAGCGAATGCAGAATTATTATTAAAACCTTCTTAAATATGACAAGGCCAACAAGTATCTAGTTATTTTAACAACGTGGGTTAATTTTCCTTTTAATTTGGCAGTGAACTTATCAAATCTTTATAAATTAAAATGTGTATTAAGTTCTATAAATAAAAAGTACGTTTTACTTCCTAAGGCAAGTAGTTTTTAAGGAACGAGGACTATATTTATACTTACCATGAAGGTTCCACCGCTTTCTTCCAACAGGCATGACCTTTATTCGGTATACAGTATTAATAAACTTATATTAAAATACAGAAACCAGGAAAGAATTTATAAACAATCAACAAATCTCTATTTTGATTCTACCATTCGTAATTCGCAATAACTTTATTTTGACAGTTAGTCGTTAGTTTAGAGTTGAGCAGAGGCAATATGCTGTGCATCCAAAATTATAACACGTTAATTCTTTACCACTTTAGTATACGTTTTTAACGAATTAATTAGTTTAAAATTAAAATTTCAGGACCAAATAATTAGTGCACTTGCAATCTACACAGTAACACATTGGTAACACAAAATGAACGTAGGCGAACAGTCTAATCTACCCACGCATAAAATAAATTTTGTCAACATGAACCCGTCTATTTAAGTTCCAAGGACGACATTTAAATTTAGAAATATACTTAGCGTGGGGGAAATCAAAAATAAAACTCTAAAAGGAAAAAAAATTACAAAAGTTGTATTCTTCCTATGTCTACATTATATTCATGTAACTCGATTCAAAAAAGTCATACTAGAATCGAACTAACGAGTAACGAGTCAGTCGTTAACGCTATTTGATAGCTACAGGCAATCTCTAGCTACTTTTATTGATCGACTCTGTGGTATATTTGTTTTTATTATATAATCTGTTATAGTATAGACATATAAACACATTGACTTGTTGGTTTAATTTTTCGATGGAAAATCATTGAAAACTTCAAGTTTTTCGTAATTTTAAGTGAAAAACTTCCGTAACATATTTAATTCTTGTGCTAAACTGTAGTTATGACATTATTAAAATGTTAACGCCAAAATTCAAGTTGTCACAAGATGAGAATCACGTATACATAAATGTGCATGCGCCCTACACGAATATCGGCGAAACAGAAATCGATGTGGACGGGGAAAATTTCTTGTTCGTGTCAAGTCCTTACTTCCTTCGGCTACGCCTTCCGGGTAGGATAGTTGAAAATGATAGCGCTAAAGGTTCTTACATTTGTGATTCTGGCGACTTTAACCTTACCTTTGATAAAGTAAATCCCGGTGAACATTTTGAGAATCTTGATATGATAACAAGCTTACTAGCTCCACGTGAAATACCAGAAATTAATCCTAATTTAGTGGAAATGTTGGAAGAAAGTGGTATTGCTGGTGAAGAGGAGGGTGCGGCTTGCAGTAAGAGTGATAAGGACACAGAAAGCGATGATGATACCACTAATTATGCTTACGGCTTTGGTAACAAAGTCTGTGTGGAGTTGGGGGATGTCGCGTCCGAGTTTCCACACATCTTCGAACTGAAAGAGCCCGATCGTGTGGCAATCGCTGATCGGAATGATCTCCGTATAAAACATGAAAATCGCAAGTTTTCTACTGACCATTACTTAGCTGATTTCTTCGACGAAGAACTGCTGGAACCATATCTCAATTGCGTGGTGTTCTGGAACAAAGAGGATTTCGATGCTGAAAGTATTGAATTCACGGATGAAGAAATATCAATATTAAAAGATTTACCAAATAAGAGTTACCTGTTGAGCAAAACTGAATACACACAAGTAATGCTCGGGCTTGTCGATATCTTGTACGCCTTCTGCTATGACAAGCGTACCACCCAAAATGATGCTTCAGTTGAATCCAGTTGGACTATCAACAAGCTCTCTGCAACCTTCAGCTGGTTTTGCGTATTCAAAGAAACCAAGGAAGTTTTGATTGCAGCTTACCGAAGAGCTCTAAGCTATCCAATATTCAGAAACTTTGAGCTATGCAGAAATATCCATGACGATATGATATCATTGTTCAGAAAAGGCAAAAAGTTTGTTATAAAATGCATTATAGAAATCTATAATATGTTCAACTCATGTAACGATGCTCGGTACATACTAAACCAACTGTATGTAAAAGATTACTTGATATTCCTACAGAAATGTAGACAGGAGGAACTCGATGAGTTGTGTAATAACATAGCTAATATTGATATTGAGAAAAAAGATCTCGGATTTGAACTTGATGAATTAGAAGAAGCTGCAAAATTAGTTGAGAGGGAGGAGGCAGATGTTTTGCAGAATGAATTGGCATGCCAGCTGGCATCTATCGCACTGGTCCCGGGATTAAAAAAGCCACCATATATTGATGTTACAGCCTTAATTAATAGTTCTTCAACCGATTCCAGCAGTTATACTTCTTCTACAAGTGATTCGTCCAGTGATTCACTGGATTCTGATGATGATCCCTCCTGATATAGTAGTTTCCAGGGTCTAAGTGGCCAAGGCTTGTAAAGTCTTACCAATTGACCCTGGAAAGGAAAGGCTGAAATTCACGGGAATTGGACTTCGATCCGATAGTCAAGACTTTGAGTGGATGTTTCTGGAATGAATATGGACACTAAATACAGTGTGAATATTATTATGAGGCTTCAACTCCTGTGTATACCCATCCATTGCAATGTTAGATTGAAAAAAAAATGTTTCAAACATTCTTTTTACATTTAAATTCATATTTATCAGTGTTATAAGTGTTAATGTTTTTATGTCTATGAAATTTAAAAAGTTATGTAGCATGCTTTTAAAAAATCACATAAAGCTTTGTATTGTAGTGAAAATATTATAAAAATAATTCGATGTTGTTGTTATAGTCATATTTAAATAGTATATAACTGTTTTATTTATTTATTAAGGATATACCAACAGCATATAAAATAGAATAATTAGAAAATTAACACAGTCATTTTGATGCCTATTAGAAGCATGTTCAGATTACATTAGAAACACTTTAATGATAATATCCATATTAAAGTTTTTTTCTTATTTAGATAAATTCAATAAATATCTAAATGTGTAGTAAATATTACTCTTTGATGTTGTGAAAATAGTAAAAGAAATTATTAATCAAATGTCGTAAATCTGTTAGAAAAATAGTGTTTTATTCATAAATAACTTACATTTGCTTTTATGCTATATGCTATTTTAACGGTTATAAAAGCTGCTACTGCTATAGCTATGTGTAGCTAATCTGTTATAAATGTCTATAGATGAAAGATATTTAAAAAGTGTAACACATGATATAAATTACATTCGTCACTGTTTAATGAATAAATTTATCCAACTCTACATGACTTAACATTTGCTGTTTTAAATAAATGTTAGATTAAAAAATTTGTTTTATTGACTCTTAACCTTATAATAATTATGCTAGATGGTAGAGCCCGATTAACATCTTCGCACGAATAGGCCGGTTCGCCCGATGAAATACCCCGACCACACAGAAGACAGGCGTCAAGTGGAAGTAATTCCGCGTTTCGTCTGATGAGCGTGGTACCGGAGGCCTAATTTTAGTCCTCTTTAGGCAACGCTTCTTCAATTGCGTATGTCTATGGGCAACGGTCGCTTCGCTGTTTCAGCGATTTCTGATGGCCGCTCTCTCGTTTGCCACCTTATGATATAAAAAAGGTATTGCAGCAAAACATTTTATAGATCGTAAAGACCAAGATTCCGTAATTAGGAGAAGTAAGATATTTCAGCGATACTAGGAAAGTATTCGACGTTGGTAGACATTGAACACTTTTGTTTTTTTGTACATCAAATAAAATAATCTTACTTATGTTATAAATGCGAATGTTTGGATGGATATTTGTTAGGAGGTATCAACAGAACGGCTTAACGGATCTCGATGAAATTTTGATAGACGTAGAACATAGTCTGGAATAACACAGGCAAATAAAAAAGTTTTTTTTAAATTCCGTGCGGATGGAGTGATGAGCTGGCTTATAATTCTATAAAACTAATTGGACATGAGTTCTTTGAATGTGAGAAAACTCAGTTTATTTTTTATTGAAAAATTTTTCCCCCCTTTCTCTTCCCACCCTTTTGTTATAAAGAAAGGATGGAAACATGACGTCGATTTGACGGAGGAAAGAATGCACAGGAAGGGGATATCATCTTTCTGTGTCTCCTCTATCGATTTAAGATAGGCGACGCCTCTGGATATAATTTTATACAGTACAGTACATACATATGACCGCTTGCTCGTTTGCCATCTTATGTTATATAAAAAACTACCTTTAGATTTGTTTTATTGTAATCTATTGAAGGTCTATCTAACCCTTGAATTGGATTGACTCATTAGTCTAATGCTTTTCTTGTGTACAGTAGAACCCTCTTAAGACGATTTCTTAGAGACCCAGACAAAAACGCGTCTTAGACGGGAAAGCGTAATATATGGGATTAGGTTATAAGTCCAACTCTTTATTATTAAATTACTACGTATTTATGCAATCGTTTTTAATTTCGTATATTGGTATTAAATGATATATTTAAAAAGGTTACGCTTTATTATACGTTATTTATGTAATCACTTATTTTAGTTTGATATAATAGAAAAATATTAATGATTAGTAATAATTAGATTTTCAATAAAATATTATATAAATATTAAAGTGCGTCGTCGCTTTTATTTAAAGATGCTACATTGCGTTCTAAATCACTGCTGACAATGCCTGGGCATCTGATAAGATTGGAGTTGTTTCATCTTCGTCTTCAGTATTATCAATCTGGGCCCCCATGTTATTAGCATTTTAATGAGATGTTGAATAGATTGCATCTCGTGCGGTACCTCATTGTCATCGATGGAAGAATAATATAATAGTATAACCTTGTATAATAGGTACTTATTTTTCCAACACGAATTCAATAAAAGGGTTAATTCGGACACCAATGCTACAAGAGACAATACGTGCGTGTGATGGCGTATTAAACGGAATGACGATCGTATTAAGCGTTAAGAAATGTATGAAAATATGTCTCAAGTTGCATGAACCAACGTAAAATGGCGTTTACGAGAAATCGTATTAAACGTGATCGTATTATCGGGGTTCTACGTTTGTGTTTTTATGTGATGTCTTTGTCTGTCCACTGTTGGACATAGGCTTTTTTATGTATGTGAACTTGTATTTACGTTATTTGAAACCACCTGGAGCCTAAATGATTCCATTTGTAATCTTCCAGAGTGTTATAGGACATATAGTTTTCTGATTAACAAAATGTTATAAAACGAAGTCTGGATAGAAATGTACCGTTTCTCGTTGCGACCACGCCCATCGTACATCAAAATCAATACGAGCCGACGGGCTGCGCTATTATTAGATTTACCTGGATCGCAATATGGCGGCTGGAGTCTGGGATGTATTGATTTTGACTCCATATACATAGGTATTCAGAGCGAATCTCCGCAGTTAATTATTGCGCAGTTTCAAATAGGAAAATTTCGTATCGCTTGATATCTTAATATTATAAATGCGAAATGTTAAATGGATGTTTGTTAGCAGTTGATTTAACGGATCTAAATGAAATTTGGAATAGAGATAAACAACCAAACTGAGATTTACAATTTTTTTAGGACGGCCAAAAACTAAAAAACGGCGATCCCGCCCTCTTATTTTACTTTTATGTTATTGTAAAGTAAGTAATTGTAAGTAAATGATCAGTTTCAATTAATTTAACAGTGGTAGAGCCCGCTTTAACATCTTCGCACAAAATGGCCGGTTCGACCATAGCAATACCACGACCTCACAGAAAATAGGCATCAAATGGAAGAAATTCCACGTACAGTCTGTTGAGTATGGTACCTAAGGCCTAATTTTAGTCCTCTTTCCTTTCCCACCTTTTTCTTATAAGTAAAGAATAGGAAGTGGATTTTCCGGATGATGGGATGCATGGGAAGGGAAAATAATCTCCTTCCGTGCCCTCCTCCGTAGGTTAAAGGTACGCAGGCAACGCATATGCAATTGCGTATATCTATAGGCAACGGTCGTTCCGCTATTTCAGTGATTTCAGGTGGCCGCTCGCTTGTTTGCCACCTCCAAAAAAAATCTGTAAAATAATCTGAACTGTAGAAAACTGTTCAGAATATATCTCAATTTTTTTTATATCTACGCACATGAAGTTGCGGTCATAAGCTATAATATTATTCGTCATTATAAAAGGACGGCTAGAACAAAAATAGATGGAACAAGTACTGAATCTAGATACGAAGGAGTCCAAAGGACCGTGATACTTTCTCGCTTACGGAGTGCGACCGTCGTGATCAGACAATGACTCTCGCTTATCCAGGTTCTCTGGTATAATACTTTACTTTTAGATAGATCTATTTGAAGAGGAAATAAAAAATACATTTTTTTTCTAAAACTTCATTTATTCGTGCTAATTATTTCGAGAATTTTACATACATGTTTTTTACATTCACCATAACTATTTATTAAATCTTATATCCCTAAGCTAATAATATAAATTAAAAAACAGCATTAATTAGCTTTTTGGAAGTACTCCTTACTCTCTGTTGGGCTAGGTTTGATGGTTGCAGCATTAGTCTCCGGATTCCAATTAGCTGGGCATACTGTGAACATAAAATTAAAAAAATAAATCTGTAATTTATGGGTTGTGACAAACTATAACTATAAACAGCTATTGACAACGAGTTATTGTTTTAATAATCGTTATCTATTAAACTGTTAATGTTTTAAATAGTAACAGTTAATAACTGTTAAAAATAGCAGCTAATAACTGTTAAAAATAGCAGTTTATAACTGTTAAAAATAACAGTTAATAAGCAACTAACGGTTATGAATTACAACATCACTGTACATCTTACAATAAAATAAACTAGAAAATGAAATGGCGCTATGTATGGAATTTGACATGACTATGTTTGAAGGTATCTCCAGAACGGCTGTACAGATCTTGATGAAATTTAGGCATACATATAGGAAAAAACTCTGAAAACACTTTGGCTACTTATTTTTTTGAATTCCACCAGATGAAGTCATCTTTAGTATTTTATAACAATAGAAAAGAGATGCATTATTAATTATTTAATTTCAGTTTATTTTTACCTTCTCCATGTTTGTCAGCAAACTGGAAGGCCTTGACCAATCTGAGAGTTTCATCAACAGATCTTCCTACTGGCAGGTCATTGACAGACATATGTCTTAGAATTCCATTACCATCAATGAGGAACAAACCTATAGAAAATTAAATTAGTAAAATACACTTTGAAACAGAATACTCAACTACATATACAGGATGGAATTTTTTTAATACCCCATAAGGTATCAAAATATAATAGTAAATGTTTCAGTTCTTTGAAAATTGGTTGAAATTACTTTAAATTGCAAAAATAACATCCTGTACTTTTCTTGTAATCAATAATGTTGCCATTTATAAGGAACTAAACTAAAGTAAGAAAATAAACTTTTTTGGTATCTTAAAAATTCCATCATGGGAGAACTTTTTTTTAATACAATCGGGAACTAAATTAATTTAGGATAAAGTAAAAAAAATTGGTCCAAAAGCTTTCTTACCTCGCAACGCAAATCCTTCGTCCAATAACACTTCATAATCTTGAGAAACTTTCTTCTTGTAATCAGCTAACAGGGGAATTTCTAACTTTCCTAATCCACCATCCTAAAAAAATTAAGGACAGGTTTGTCAAACATGTTCTAGTACAAAGTAAATTTACGTATATTATTTTTACATTCCATAATGGACAGAGGAAGATACAGAAAAGATATTTACCCTTCTTATACATCCTCTCCCCTTCCTATCTTTTCATTATAAAAAGGATTAAAATTCAAACAATAAGAATAATCATTGGATCATATGCTTACTACATCAGATCATTGAAGAGAGAACTCTACCACTGTGTTATCAAATATTTAAAGAATCACTTACCTTCCTTGGTGTATTTGTCCATGCCAAATGACTGAACTCGGAATCTGTTGAAACTCCAATAACTTGGCATTGTATGTTATCAAATTCTTTGCTTCTTTCACTGAACGCAATTAACTCAGTTGGACAGACAAATGTACTGAAAAAAAATCACATTTATAATAACTTCACTAAATGTCACCGGCGACTCTACTCGCACAGAATTAAAAAAGACGTAATTAGTAGCCTATGTGTTCTATCAGATTATGTTCTACATCTATGCAAAATATCATTGAGATCCTTTTAGCCATTTTGGCAATACAATCAAACTAAACTGATATATAAACACGGCTAAACACTCGCATATATACATGAGTGTTTAGCCGTGTTTATATATCAGTTTAGTATAATGTCTCAAGAAAGTTTGAATAATTTAATACAAATGTTTGCATTTATAATATTAGTAAGATTAATCCAACTCAACCTAACCATCTCAATTGTTAAATGCCCATGATCATTTACAGGATGTGGGAAGGACTAAAATCGAGTTCTTTTATTTGACAAAGAATAGTGAGTCTTTTTGTGTTAAAAGATTGGCACCCATAGACATCAGTGAAACCAGAGTAACTGCAGATGTGTTGCCAATCTTTGAAAAAAAGATATGCTCACTTCTTCAACCCTAATTTGTACCACTTACAAATAATATGTGAAATATTATGTACTTACAAGTCCAGGGGATAGAACAATAGAACTACGTATTTCCCAGCATAATCTGCAAGCTTCACATCTTTAAATTCTCCATTGACAACCGCTGTTCCTCTAAAGTCAGGTGCTGGCTTTTGGATTCTCGGAGCACAAGCGGCACTGGCTGAAATAACCACATATTTTATTATAAGTTTTTCATATATTGAATATTAGTATTTTTTATATCTGTAAATTGATATTTATTGTGGAAAGTGTGAATATGAAGACTTACTTTAAGATTTATTATAGTTTTTAATATATACATAAAATATATTTACATAAAATAAGGTTATGTTTCTGTCCTTTTACAATTTAAAACTTATATTCAATAGTTGTTATCAGTGACCTTTAAGATTTTAAAACTGTAGTCTAATTTATTGATAAAAATAAATGTATAAAAAGTCAATGTCATTCGATTTTTTGTAATACATGGAATTAGTTTAAATTATAATGAGCGTATATCTGATTATGTAATCTAAACTTACTTGTAGAGAAATTGGTTTTCTTTAATACCGAAAGTCCAGGTGCAAGAACCTTAAAGAGAAACAAATATATTAATTAGGAATACGTGTTTAACTATGCTTTTACGAGAAGTATAAAATTTACTTACCCTGCGCAAAGATTGCTTAATGAAAAAAGACATTTTAAAACTTTCTTAAGTCTCTTTTCTACTCCGAAAGGCTGTATTTAGTAATAGCAGAGAACTTTCTCGTAAATTAAGAAAAACCGCTACAATATCTTTGAGATCAAATTTTTATTTGACACTTTGCTTTATCAGATCATGTACGTCATTTTGACAGCTGACACTTTAATTTTTGCAATGGCAAGAGTTTTACAAGTAGAACAAGAGTTTTAATGCAAAGTATGAAACATATCTATTATTATATTTAACTTTAATAAAATTGCGTTTTTTTTGTTATTTTAAATTATAAACAAGAAGGTATTGTTATGTAACTGCTACTTTTATTATTATACTGTTGAGCAACGAAATTAAATATAACTGAGTTATAACCAGTTATAACGAATAGTGTGCACATCGAAAAACATCGATTTTGAAACGAGTATTGTTAAATTTTGTTATTTAATAGTATGTTTAATACTATTAAAATTATTTAAAATAATTTCTTGGAATTTTCGATGGAGAAATTTGATTCTTACGATTTAGATAAATTGTTATTTAGAATTATTACACTTTTGGTTGATATTGTAAAACTGGTGTTTTACAAACATATTTTTAATGTTTTTAACATTGATTTGTTTCTTTTTTAATTAAAAACACACCTTTTAAATTGACTATTACATAATATTTAAACGATATCGGGTCAGGGGGCTGAGATGAAGAAGAGGGGAGAGCTGTATCCCGGGTCCACCCAAATCGATAATGGAAGTCTAGATGCGCAGGTCTGTCTGTAGATCTATATATAAAGTGTTCATATATATATGTCGTGGCGTCGGTTTTTGAAACAAAGGCCTTTGTTTGATTGTCATAGAAAACGAAGTATAATAATTTCTTAAAAATTATAAAATAATGTGCATGAAGGCAGCTTGAGATGACATAAAAAGGATGGACGTTTTTGATTCCAGAACAAAATTTATATAAAACAAAAACCATTTTCCCTTAATTAACTTCCTTAGTCCATAAGATTTGTTTATTTTATTTATATTACTTATTAAATGTATAAAGTATTTCTTGGATTTTTCCATTAGTTTCGTTTGTGTGGGCGGGGTTCTTTCTAGAAATTTACAAAATGGCCGGTGCCACGTCGAAAACGCATGCGTATTCGCCTCAAACGAGCTCGATTGATCGAGCTCTCCCGTCTGGATGTACCAAGTCCCCAGCCAGCGCCCTGTTCATCATTCGTTCTCGAGCCTTCGTGGAAAGTGGTCGTCTTCCTTGTAAAATTATTTTGCGGTGTGACTGTGATATTTTACAATAAATTTTCACATTTTGTTTAGTAATTACTTTTTTCGCGTCGTATTTTGAATTATTCAGTGGATTATTATATTATTTAATAATTTATTGTGATTTGGAAAGCGAAGGCTCGTGATACGCAGTTTTGGGCGTGGCCATACCCACCCCACTTTGGCCACACCCTATCTCATCTACTTTTTCCTTTGTCTTATAATTTTTAATCTGTAACTTTTGCGCCGCGAACACACAAAATGTTTTCTCTTCAGATTTTTTTCACTATGGGGTTTTTTAATTTTGAATTTTTTAATATGAAATTACATAATTTCATTTTGTAATGACAACATATTGCATGCAGTGTATTTGTTATCTGTGTCGTATTTGTTATGTGCTTATATTTATAATGTAAATAATATTCTAAATTTTATTAGAAAATTATTTATGTTAATTTTTTTTTTGTAGATTTACGTGTAAGTAGTGAATATAATACTTATATGTTTAAGCTTACGGAATGTACTTAACATCAATAACACCGATTTTATAAATAATAATTATTTGACTCTAAAATAATTCTTTGACTCTAATAGTTTATTTTTAATAACAGGTGGTGCGAATGGGTGGTAGTGCGAATGGCAACGCTTGGCGAAATTTTTGCTGTGCCTACGAAGCGAAAACTGTGAGTTTATATATTTTTTAAATATCTTCCATGCATAGCCTTGAATCAAACTTGTTCCAATTGTGCCCGCAACTCCGTCAGCGCGGAAAAAATGCCTATGTGTTCTTCCAGATTATGTTCTACTTGTATGCCAAATTTCAGGAGATTCATGCAGCCGTTCTGGATACAACTTCTACAAACATCCATCCATCGATATAAACTTTAAAAATTGTAAAATTAACAGTTTCATTTTGAGCTCGTATTATTTAACATTTCTGCTTCCCCATTTGTAGAGTAAAAGCTCAAACCCAGTAAAAGCTCCTTTATAAGCTTTTTCTCTATTCGCGGATTAAAAAAATTGCGACCCAATTCCTGTATTCGCGGCTAAAGATTTCGTTATTCGCGGATCTATTCAGTACATAAATAACAATAAAAAGGATACCTATAGAGATCCAAAACTGGTTCGGACTTTGAAATAAGCCGCCTTTGTCGTGATAGGTGTTTTTAGACGTTCCGTTCTTTGGTAAAAGCCGCTTTGTGCTTTGGTAGAAGAAACGTTTACTGAACAGTAAAAGCTCCATATTCGCGTTTTCATTATTCGCATTAAAGAAATATGACGCAATTCCTATATTCGTGGTTCTAAAAAAACACGATGAAAGCAACCTTATTACTAAAACAAAGTATAGTTTTAAATGCTGCCACATATTAGACGTTTCGTTCTTTGGTAAGAGCCGATTTACGTGTTTCGTTGTCTTGTCTTTCCATTTGTTGGAAAAATTATGATCGAGTAACACATTTTTTTTATCTTTAACTTGGCACGTATCCCCCTACACTGGTAATTACATATAAATTACCAAACCCGTATTCACGGTTTCTGTATTCCCGGTATATTTATGGGACGTAACCTAACCCGCGAATAAAGAGATTTTACTGTACAGTAATAGCTCCTTATTCGCGCTTCCTTTATTCGCGTTTTTACTATTTGCGGATGAAAGAAATGTGACGCAATTCCTATATTTGACGCTAAAGATTTCGTTATTCGCGGATCTAATCGGTACATAAATAACAATAAAAAGGATGCCTATAGGTATCCAACATTGGTTCGGACTTTGAAATTAGTCGCCCTTTTCGCGATAGGTGTTTTTTATAGAATGTAAAAAAAACAGAATGAAAGAAACCATAGACGTTCTGTCCTTTGGTAGAAGCCGCTTTGCACTTTGGTAGGAGGAACTTTTACTGTACAGTAAAAGCTCCTTATTCGCGCTTTCTTCATTTACTTTTTGACTATTTTCGGTTTAAAAAATGCGAAGCAATCCCTGTATCCGCGGCAAAAAAAAATTGTTTGGGATAAATGCTGCCACATTTCGAACGTTCCGTCCTTTGGTAGGAGCCACTTAACGTGTTTTGTTATCTCGTCTTTCCATTCGTTACAAGAATTTTGATCGAGTGACGCATTTGTTTTTTTTTTATTTTATCACTTTGGAACGTGTCTCCTATAATTTTATATAAATTACTATTCCGTATTCATGGTTTCTATATTCGCGGCATATTTATGGATCGTAACACACCCGCGAATAAAGAGATTTTATTGTACAGTAATAGCTCCTTATTCGCGCTTCCTTCATTCTCGTTTTCACTATTCGCGGATTAAAAATAATGTGACGCAATTCCTATATTCGCGGCTTAAGATTTCATTGTTTGCGGATCTAATCAGTACATACATAATAAAAGGATTCTAATAGGTATGCAACATTGGTTTAGACTTTCAAATAAGTCGCCTTTGTTGCGATCGGTCTTTTTGAGAATGTTAATAACAACCCCAATGAAATCTGATTTATTATTGACATAAAGAATATTTTTAAATGCTGCTACGTTTTAGACGTACCGTCCTTGGATAGGTTCGGTAGGAGTAGTTTTGCGCTTTGGTAGGAGGACCTTTACTGTACAGTAAAATCTACTTATACGCGCTTTCACTATTCGAAGATTAAAATTGCGACGCAATTCCTATATTCGCGGCTAAAGATTTCGTTGTTAGCGGTACTATTAGACATTATTAGTAAAAATCATTTAGACTAAATGGCACACTTTCGTTAACAAGTCTAATGTCAGATTGATTAGTGAGTGGACATAAACGTTGATATTTGATTAAGGCTAGTGTTGCGGCGATACACCGACATAGTGTCGGGATGTTCTTCCTAACATTACTAATCAGTACATGCATAATAATAAAGTCTTCGAATACGTTGGATACGACCCAATATCCTTTGTAAACGCCGTTCAATAAAATAGTTAAACAGAGCTAAAAAAAATTACCATTCAGTATTCGCGGATTCTTTTATTACGGATTATATTTGTATATTTGAGGAGTAATACCCCGCGTATAAAGAGCTTTCACTGCACAGCAACAGGGTTGCTTGTCTGTACATTATCTTGAAGGTTATTTCGTCTTTCAGATGAAGACAAGCTTGGGCGACCATTAACGATGAGTCTGCAATGTCTTGACACTTGTATAATAACAATATTGTATAGATAATAAAAAATTTCTTACACTTGTGTTATGATAGTGGAAATTCATAGTAACAAAATTGTTTAGAATTCCCGTCCATGACATGAAGCGGATGATGACTGAGAGACCGAACATTAATTTTACAAGATTAACCTAACAGGTCAGTAGAAATACATTTTTATATTTTTCTATTTAATACATTATGAAATACGTCAATGAAAGTTGATCTTACTTACAGTGGTAACAACCTGAACGTGAAATTAAAAGAAAAAAACAGATTGAAAATGTTCTGAGAAAAGAAATTAAAGATTGATGACAAGCATTAAAAACATAAAAAGTTTTAAACCAGAAATCATTAAAAATAAAAAAAATAACACTAAAAGAAATACAAATGGAGTAAAATAATAATCAATTGAAAACTCTAGTTACTATAGAAGCTTACTCGTTGGCCGTCCTTGAATACATGAAAAAATGACACATTGTTCTACACTTGACTCTTAATATACATCAAAACTTTTTACTTGCCATTTGGCAATTTGTCCACCCGTCCTTTCCCTTTTTTCTTGGTTTTTCTATCTGTATCTTTTGTTTCTAGAGCGTCGGTGGCGATTTTCACCATGTACCAATGTGTTTTTCGATTTTTGAATTTCGTATGTTCTTATGGCGAAGGAAAAGATTGTGATGCAACCTGTACATATCTGCGAAGAAATTCAAAGATATGTGTGAAGTCAACCAACCCGCACTTGGCCAGCGTGGTAGAGAATGCCCACCAAATTTATAAGATTCTTGATGACTCTAATATATTGTGTGAACAACAGGTGGTGCAAACGGGAATTTTGGCTTGGATAGTTCATGAATTCGGCGCTTGGCGATATTTTGCTATTCCTAGGAGGCGAAAACAGTAAGTTTGTGGTCTATACTATAATTTTATTTACCAAATTTATAAGATTCTTTGACTCTAATATATTATGTGAACA